TAGTTATGACTTATTTGTTGGAGCTACATAATGGGACATGGAAGTTTATTATATTATTCTTTATACTTCGTATATGTTTGACATTTTCTATAGTAAATAAAACTTTCATTGTATTAACCAATTACAATCCATTGTCATGTAAGTCTGGTAATGGCAGATGAACTAGCAATAATAATATTTAACCATTCTTTATGTATGATGAAACAATGTACGTCTCAAATCTTGGTAAAGCTCATTACAACACAAACATCCATTGTAGAATGCTTAAATTTTATTTAAGATTTTTTTTTTGTCCTAACAACAAATTAAAATGTTCATCTTAATTAGAACGTTCTTTATTTCAAGGGAAAAAAAGTCAGACATTACTCTTATTATGACACCAGTAGGGGGAGATAGAAGCTGGATTTCCTCTGGGAATATTTTTTTAAGAAATAATGTATGTTTAATCTGATAGTCTGAATAATTTCAGGGGGAATGACATTCCCCTGCTGTGTTTTCAATAAGAAGTAGGTCTCCGTCCTTAAATTTCCAGCCTTTGATTTCCAAGAAAGGAATTCTTTGCTCTGAATCATTACAATCCATTTTCCATTTGAAATATATGGTTAAATTAGAATAATATCACTGTCTAAATTGTTCCTCTGCTTCTCTCTTATCATAGCTCCTTAATGGACTTTCTAAAAAAAAATTCAAGTATTAACCCCCCAAAAATTAACCCATCTTAATCTCCCAGGAATAATACAAATTTAGCATTTGACTTAAGCTTAAATACCATTCATTTATACAACTATTTTTTAAATGTCTACCATGTGCAGGGTACTATTGTCGGGGCTACAGTTATAATGACGATAAGAATTAGTTCCTAACCTCAAGCAGCTTACGGTTTATTAGAGAACATAGCATAAAGGAGGAGGGGAGAAGGGAGGAAGAGGAGGGGAGAGAAGAGATACGTGGGTAGTATGGGAACCCCTAGAAGGGCAGCTAACCCATCCCTGGAGAAAGATTTCCTAAGTAGAATATACAACTATGTCTTTAATTTATTCTTTAATTTGCTTACTCAACATATGCTCATTTTATCCACTCAAACACATATCAAGCACCTTTTTTGAACAAGATATGGTGGTCTATTGATTCAAATCACCATAAAGTCTTCTTGCTGAAGATACACTATCTGATAGAGTATGCCTATCTATAGTGATGAACAATTTTAAGCACTTTTTTATTTTGTAAACTTGGCATTTTCAATATAACTTTCTCTTTTCACTGGAAAACACCAATGATATTCAAATAGTACTTCAATGTATTTTGTACTCGTTTTTGAAAAATATTTTATGTTATATCCTTACTTATATGAAGGTAAACAGAAGCAAGTTACACTTTTCCCTTAATGCTTACATAACTTCTTATGCTCTTTAACCAATTTGTTTAAAATATTTTTGTTGTCAAGACCATAACACCACAGAAAAGACTTCTTTTATGGTGCTCCCACTCCACTAAGCCTGGTTCCTTTACATGGTCCTCTCATGGCCAGCAAGGGGAAAATTTCTCTTCCTGGGCTTACGCCTTTTGTGTTACAGCCTTTCACCTCTTCCTGGTCTTCCCAAGTGTCATCCCCTCCTCCACCCCAGCCACAGTCTAACACATCCAGTTGGCTAAATGTAAACATAAACTTTCTATCTTATGAGATCTGTTATGGAATCATCCCAACTTGGCAACAGTCTTTGGTATTTAAAAAGTTCCACAAGGGGCTCCCTTGTACTACTTTTGTTTTGTATCACAAAGAGGCTCTACTTTTTAGAATTGCAACCTAGTCTTACCTCCCTCCTTGCCCAGGTCTAGGCTGATACCGACTCTGACATTCCAGGGTGTGTAAGGGATCTTTAACTGCATGACCCCAGACCTTTTATTTCACTTCGGGTCAGAAGAGTGGCAGAGCAACTGGATGCCTCCTCAGCCACCACTTCAGTTGGCATCTCCCTGAGGTGTCCTTCCAAGAAGTCTCTGATTAGTCTTTAGTTTGCTTCCAGGCATTAAGCTTCACATTGAGTTTTCTTTTCTCCCAAGTGCTTTCTGGATTCTGTTTTCCCCAGCACCTCTCCCTGTTTCCTGTTTATAAACCACTCTTGCTCTGGAGGCACTGCAGCCCTTCCACCGCGGATTATCACTATCAAATTCTTTCATGCTCCATCCTCTCCAAATGTCACATATATGCCCTTTTATTGTCCCACAACTCTGTCCTCTGAACTCTGGACCTGGAGGATATCATCTCTGAAACACGGCCTCTGACTTACATCTCGGAGAATCCTTCCCCTGCAAGGTTCCAGTAGTTACCTGATGATGAAAGGGGGTGGCTTTCTCTCCCAAAGACCATGCCTCTGACCTTTTCCCTTTCTTCTCTTTGGCCATTTGTCATACCCAGAGCATCTACTGGGAGCTGCATGCACAGTTTTTTCAAGCGGACCACTATTTTTACTACAATAAAAAAGGACTTTTAGGATAAAAACTGTCCTACAATGATGAGTGGAGCTCAAGGCTATAGTGTCCTGTTACTTGGCTTTTTGAGGCTTGAGCATCAGTCTCCTCCAAGCCCTCTCTGGGTTAATGTTATTTCTTATCACAGGCAACTCTCCTAGCCATGACCCTTGGGGGCATCTATCTTCACTGGTTTCTTCTATTTTCACTTACTGCTGCAGGTTGTATTCTCAGTCCACTCCCTGGAACTACTGGGTCCTTTTCTGTCTTGGTCTTAAGGTGACTTGCTCAGCTTCTATCATAATTGCCCTTTGATTGTATGTCCCCAGCATCTCGGAAGCATCCTATATTTATTGGTTCATTCTTAGTTACTCTAACATTCTTTTCTCTTATTTTCAATAGAAGTCTTCCTTTTAATTCCCCTGGATATTCTTCACTTTACATCAGTTCATGCTGGTGCCTCTTCTCCCTCCCCTCTCTCTCTCTCCCCCTCTGAAATTTTATTTTTTCTAAATCTCCAACCTTATTTGCAACTCTTCTGCCAGTATCCCTAACCTCTCAGGTGAAAAATCATGAGGGTCAAACAAGGCAAATTAGTTTGGTGAACTTTCAATCATCCCTCTCTCTGGAATTTTGATCAGGGGTCTGACTGTCCTAATATTGTTGTTTTGACCTTAATTACATGTGCACTTACAAGATTCTGTTTCCATTTTTATCATATCTAGGTGATAAATCACAATGTTTTGATGGGAGGTATATTTTGATGAACTTTATATTATCTTATTTTACTTACAATCTCTTTGCTGTATTCTTATTGTTGTGATCTGAGTACCTGATGTAATAATTGTGCAGTAGTGTATGCTAATTTGGAATGGATAATGAGAAAAAAAAGCCTGAAGTGAATGACCTAAAGGGTTAAGTCAGCTATCTGACCTAGGCTGCACAACAGAACCACCTGTGAAACCTTCATAAAATGAAAAAGATCTGCCTCTTCCTCCCTCAAGCAATTTTGATTCAAGAACTTCATGGGAAACTCAGGACTACTCATCTACATGGTTCTGGAGATAGTGACTTCTACAGCTACAAAGAAGGTACAGTGCCTGAAACTTCATCTTTGTGAACTAATATAAGTGATAAACTTGGCCTTCTGTGATTTTACCTTGCCTCTTTGTTTCTCTGCAAAGAGCCACACTTTATGTGGTTTCCCTACTCCTCAGAGCCCCACCTGGATGTTCTAAAGTAACAACAAAAATAATTCTTTAGATGGACTGATATGGTTTGGCTGTGTCTCCACCCAAATCTCATCTTGAATTGTGATTCCCATAATCCCCATGTGTCATGGAAGGGATCCAGAGGGGGGTAACTTAATCATGGGAGTGGTTACCCTCATGCTGGTCATGCTATTCTCATGATGGTGTGTGAGCTCTCATGAGATTTGATGGTTTTATACGGGACTTCCCCCTTCACTCAGCACTCATTCTCCCTCCTGCCATCCTGTGAAGAGCTGCCTCTGCCATGATTGTAAGTTTCCTGAAGCCTCCCCAGCTATGCAGAAATGTGAGTCAATTAAACCTCTTTCTTTTACAAACTATCCATTCTTGAGCAGTTCTTTAAAGCAGTCAAAGAACAGACTAATACAGTAAATTGGTACCATAGATAGTGGGGTGCTGCTATAAAGATACCCAAAAATGTGGAAGTAACTTTGGAACTGGGTAAAAGGCAAAGGATGGAACAGTTTGGACGGCTCAGAAGAAGACAGAAAAATGTGGGGAAATTGGGAACTTCCTAGAGACTTGGAGGGCTCAGAAGACAGGAAGATGTGGGAAAGTTTGGAACTTCCTAGAGACTTGTTGAATGGCTTTAACCAAAATGCTAACAGTGATATGGACAATAAAGTCCAGGCTGAGGTAGTCTCAGATGGAGATGAGGAACTTGTTGGAAATTGAAGCTAAAGTAACTCTTGTTATGCTTTAGCAAAGAGACTGACAGCATTTTGTCCCTGCCCTAGAGATCTATGGAAATTTGAAATTGAGAGAGATGATTTAGGGTATCTGGCAGAAAAAAATTTTTAAGTGGCAAAGGATATAAGAGGAAGCAGAGCATGAAAATTTGGAAAATTTGCAATCTAACAATGCAATAGAAAAGAAAAACCCATTTTCTGGGGAGAAATTAAAGCCAGCTGTAGCAACTTGCATAAGTGACAAAGAACTGAATGTTAATCAGCAAGACAATGGAGGAAATGGTCCAGGGAATGTCAGAGACCTGCATGGCAGCCCCTCCCATCACAGGCCCAGAGGCCTAGGAGGAAAAAATGGTTTCATGGGCCAAACCCCTAGCTCCTCTGCTGAGTGCAGCCTAAGGACTTGATGCCTCACATCCCAGCTGCTTCAGTACCAGCCATGGCTAAAAAGGCCAAGGTATAGTTCAGACCATGGCTTCAGAAGGTGCAAGCCCCAAGCTTTGGCAGCTTCTACATGGTGTTGAGCCTGCAGGTACACAGAAGTCAAGAATTGAGATTTTGGAATCTCCACCTAGATTTCAGAAGATGTATGGAAACACCTGGGTATCAAGGCAAAAGTTTGCTGCAGGGATAGAGCTTTCATGGAGAACATCTGCTAGAGCAAGGGGGAAAAGGAAATGTGAGATTGGAGCTCACACACACAGTCCCCACTGGGCCACTGCCTATTGGAACTGTGAGAAGAGAGACACCATCCTCCAGAACCCAGAATGATAGATCCACCAACAGCTTGTGCCAGGTACCTGGAAAAGCCACAGACACTCATTACCAGCCTATGAAAGCAGCAGGAAGGAGGGCTGTACCTAGAAAATCCACAGGAGCAGACCTGCCCAAGGCCATGGAGCCCACCTCTTGCATCAGCATGCCCTAGATATGGGACATGGAGTCAGAGGAGATCATTTTGAAACTTTAAGACTTAAAGCCTGCCCTGTTGGATTTTAGACTTGCATGGGACCTGTAGCCCCTTTGTTTTGGACAATTTCTCCCATTTGGAATGGGTGTATTTACCCAATGCCTATACCCCATTGTATCTAGGAACTAACTTGCTCTTAATTTTACAGGCTCATAGGTGGAAGTGACTCTCCTTCCTTAGATGAGACTTTGGACTTGGACTTTTGAGTTAATGCTGGAATGAGTTAAGAATTTGGGGGACTGTTGGAAAGGCATGATTGTGTTTTGAAATGTGAGGATGTGAAATTTTGAGGAGCCAGAGGCAGAATGATATGGTTTGGCTGTGTCCCCACCCAAATCTCATCTTGAATTGTAGTTCCCATAATTCCCATGTGTCATGGGAGGGACCTGCCATATCACAGGAGGGATGCAGTGGGAGATAACTACCATGGGGGTGGTTACCAAAATGATGCTCATTCTGTTCTCATGATAGTGAGTGAGTTCTCACAAGATTTATAAGGGGCTTCCCCCTTTGCTCAGCACTAATTTTTTTCCTGCCACACTGTCAAAAGGGAACTTCCACCATAATTGTAAGTTTCCTGAGGCCTTCCCAGCCATGTGGAACTGTGAGTCAGTTAAACCTCTTTCCCTCCTTTATAAATTACCCAGTCTTGGGTATTTCTTCATTTCTTCATAAGAACAGACTAGTACATGGACGTATGAGTAAACAACCCAAAACCCTTTCCAAAGGAAAAGAAAGAGTGGAGGTACTTTGTCATACTAATTTATCTGCAATGAGGTATGAGAATTTCTTTCTGCACTCAGGATGGCCCTTTGATTTATTTATCATTTAATACTCTTCATAACATGGGGACATCTGAACCAGGATTAAGAAAAAAGTATTTGGAGTAAAGAGTCTTTAGAAAGAATGGAAATAAAGTTACCAAAGATCTTACTTGCTCATACATTTATTGAATGACTACTTCTTGTCTACCAAATGCCAGATACTGTTAGTCGTTGACATTCTCTACAATCAAATTTAGTAGCCCTTAATTCACTTTTAAGAGCTTGAGTTCACAAGAGAAAAGGAGAGGGGGAAGCTAGTTTCTTTATGTTTTTGTCAATCCCATTCTCTCTTTATTCTGTACCTTACCATTACCATTTTATTTTTAATTCTTTTCCATTTCCTTTCATGTCATGTATGCGTGAGCAAGAGGTGAAGAATACTTTTCCTTCTCTGCTAAGAAATGTCAAGGGATCTTGAATAATTTTGCCTCTGATATGTGTTATCTGATCTTGTTCTACTTCTGCCTTTGCTGTTGGATTGCTGTCTGTCAGACACTGCTGATGATTTCTAAGTCATTCACTTGTCCCACAAGTGGGACAAATTATTCCCTAAAATACTTGAGAAAGCATACAGTACAGGAGCCTAGAACAACAAATCCGGTTCAATTCTAACCTCCTGTAACCATCTACCTGCCCTGAGGGAAGCCATTTATACCTGAGACTCCATTTGCCGCTCTGTATAACCGACAAGAAGACCTAATTGTATTAGCCCGTTATCACACTGCTGATAAAGACATACCTGAGACTGAAAAATTTACAAAAGAAAGAGGTTTAATTGGACTTACACTTCCACACGGCTGGGGAAGCCTAACAATCATGGCAGAAGGCAAGGAGGAGTAAGTTCTATCTTACACGGATGGCAGCAGGCAAAAAGAAAATGAGGAAGAGGCAAAAGCTGAAACCCCTGGTAAAACCATCTTCACAACCAGGAGAACAGTATATGGGCAATTGGCCCCATGATGCAATTATCTCCCACGAGGTCCCTCCTACAACATGTGGAAATTATGGGAGTACAATTCAAGATGAGATATGGGTGGGGACACAGAGCCAAACCATATCACTGCATAAAGGGTGATGAGTATTACAAGTAATGTCCTTTAAGTGCCTAGCATAATTCCTATCTCACAGTAGATGGAGATATTATTATTCATTACTGTGATGGTTAATATTGAGTGTCAACTTGATTGGATTGAAGGATACAAAGTATTGATCCTGGGCATGTCTGTGAGGGCGTTACCAAAGGAGATTAACATTTGAGTCAGTGAGCTGGGGATGGCAGACCCACCCTCAATCTGGGTAGGTACAATCTAACCAGTTGCCAGCATGGCTAGAGTATAAAGCAGGCAGAAAAACATGAAAAGAAAGCCTGGCCTCACCTCCCAGTCTGCAGCTTTCTCTTGTGCTGAATGCCTCCTGCCCTCGAACATCAGACTCCAAGTGCTTTAGTTTTAGAACTTGGGCTGGCTTTCCTTGCTCCTCAGCCTGCAGATAGCCTATTGTGGGACCTTGTGATCATGTGAGTTAATGCTTAATAAACTACTACATATATATATATGTATAGGGAGGTTATGGAAGATATAACCAGCACTAACTGCCATTAAGCTTCAAAAATAATAAAAGTTTTGTCAGTAAATATATGAACGGCTTAAAGATAAACACTTCAAATAATCCATTACACATCTTACCACTCAATATCATACTGTCAAAGAGCTCTTATCAAACAAGAGAACATGTCATGTGAAAGACACAAGATACATTGAACCATATTACATGAGTATCCTGTTTTGTTTTTACCACTGGACAATTTGTTAGACAGATATTTTTTTCTGTTCTTACTTGCCATTGTTCCAGGAAAAGGAAAGAAGAAATTCTCTTCCTTTCAATGTTAAAGATTTAATTGAAATGAATTTTGAAAGAAAGCATGGAGAAAACATCACTTACCGTCTCAAACTCCGCTTTGTACACCCCAATTGATTGAGTAGTCCTTCGCTACCCTCATCGACAGATCACAGACACACAGCTAGGAGAGTAGAATTCTTCTTTAATAGTAGATCTGCCTGGGTACTAAATAAATAAATAAATAAATAAATAAAAGAAGGAAATGTTCTAAGTGACTTTCATCCATTTATTTCCAAAGTAAATAATCCCACAAAAATGGATAGGAAAAAGTTAGCTTACATTCTTTTACTTAATAACATGGTTCCAGATAAAGTCTTTGGTTTTATTTTCATAACAAGTTGTGTTCTTAACACATCACAGTGCATTTCAAGGAAAGCATTCATTTGTCACAGTTTCAAATATTAATGTCTCTTATGAAATTTATGTTTCTGTCATTTCTAGCTGTCAGAGTTTCTGTTTCCTCAAGGTCTTCTCTAGCAACAAATCCCAAAATTCTTTAAGAACGTAAAGATGGCTCTTGATACAATTTTTTTGTGATATATTGTATGTTAGATCTACAAAGAGGTTCTTATCCCTATACTGAGAGAGACTCTTTCTGATGGAGTCCTTGCGTCCTCTTTTTATTTTTGACACAGCCTCACTCTGTCGCCCAGGCTGTTCTGCAGTGGCATGATCTTGGCTCGCTGTAATCTCTGCCTCCTGGGTTGAAGCAATTCTCCTGCCTCAGCCTCCTAAGTGGCTGTGATTACAGGCATGCACCACCATGCCTGGCTAATTTTTTTTGTATTTTTAGTAGAGATGGGGTTTCACCATGTTGGCCAGGCTGGTCTCAAACTCCTGACCTTGTGATCTGCCCACCTCAGCCTCTCATCCTTGAGTCTTCTAAAGTGGATCACTTTATGATATTGTTTGTTATTAATAGTAATTATCAGAAAGCTGAGTGCAGTGGCTCACAACTGTAATCCCAGCACTTTGGGAGGCTAAGGTAGGTTGATCATCTGAGGTTAGGAGTTAGAACCAGCCTGGCCAACATGACAAAACCTTGTCTCTGCTAAAAATACAAAAATTAGCCAGGCATGGTGTCAGGCACCTGTAATCCCAGCTACTTGGAAGACTGAGGCAGGAGAATTGCTTGAACCTGGAAGGCAGAGGTTACAGTGAACTAAGATTGTGCCATTGCACTCCAGCCTGGGCAACAAGAGTGAAACTCATCTCAAAAACAAAAATCATAATGATCAGAATGATAAAACCATGCAAAGAGCACCTGTAGGGCTGGGCTAAGTATGTTACATATTAGTTTATCTAATCCTCCAAACATCCTGTAAAATAAGTTTTCATTTCTGGATGGCATGAGAGAGGCTTTCAAAGGATTAAGGGGCTGCAAGTCACAATTTGGTAAAATCTGGAACAAGTAAAATCTACATCTTTCTCCGACTCCAAAACTTATATTCTTTCTGCAGTGCTAACCAGAATAAGAAGGAAAATGTGTAAATAAATTATGCCACCAGACAGTTTTAGAACCTAAGCAACTGATAAATGTAGTCTACCTGTAATGAATCAAGAGTGAAGTCTAGGGATTGGATCCAAGCAGCCCCAGACATCCAATCCAGAGCTACGTTTGGATTAACATTCATAACGTTTTGATTTTTATTCAAAATAATTGCCAACATTTAAAACTATGCAGAATTCACATAAAAAGCAGGACTGAGAACTTCTATTGACAAATCAGATTATCTGGCAACTTGGGCCTCCACATTCCCACATGGTAGCAATAAGTGAAGCAGAACAGCAGATGCCCCTTCAGACAGGACACTCCTCCCATGCACTGCAGCCTACTCTCTGCCGACTCAGCTTGTGTGCCTGAACCCTCAGGGCTTTCATGTTTGTGACCCTCCTTTTCTCCATGGCATCCAATGTAGACAAATTAGAAGGGTAAAATGTTCTCAACTTCATAAATATACAGTGTGTCAAAAACTATAAGAAAGAATGTAACTTGTACATTTTCCTCAATGGTTTCTTCTTGGGGATGACCCAGAGATTGTGAGGTTTTGGAGAACAGCCTAGGGCCTTCAATTAAAATAGCTTTGTCTTTGGTTACTACCGGAATAAACCTGTAAGCAGACAGCTGTTTCATGCCAGCTGGAATTCTAGTCTTGGGTGGGATGGCAGAGGTTTATGACTTCAGATGAGAAACAGGCAGGAACAGATTATATTCTTATGCCAAGTTTCTCTCTTTATTGCCATGGAAGCAAGAAGAGCAATGCAGAACGTGGAAAGCTTTGCGAGAGCACTGTTGCACTCAGACTTTCTGCAAGACATCAGGAGCTGCTCAAGATTTTGCAAACACATTTATGGGAAAATCACGGCTATAGAAAACTAAAATTAAAACAGAGCTGGAAAAGAATAAAGATCATTTCATTTGTCTTTAAACTTAGAAGCAGAACCCCTGGGATTTAGCATTCTATAACAACACTGGAAACATTATTAACATTAATAAATAAACATCTGGATTGACTTGCAGTCTAAATTTAAGTGTCCTAAATATTTTGGCTCAATTATAACTATACTGCTTTTTTCTAAATTCTCAAATGTTTCTTCTGTCCTTAGCTTATACTTCATTTTCTTCTAACTCTTTAAACTCAAGTCTTGTTTTTCATGAAAATGGACCTTGTCTAAACGTTTAAGCACCAAACGTCTATAAAAAGATATGAAATTGATATTGATTTCAGATTTGTACAGTGTGGTTCTTTACATACTTATATGCTTTTAATTGGAATCACATAATCACACTACGTATTTATCTTTATTTCATATAATGCTTGTGTTATATGTAATTTCAAGAGTGCCAAAATTTACCAACAAAGTTTCAGTTGAGCTAAAATTAAAGCTTCATGCCATTATAAAGCTTCAGTGCCATTATTTCTACTTTTTAATATAAAATTAGCCAGAGTTAGCCCAGTTTGTGATAGCATTAGGGAGAACCCATAAAATGTGGTGGCATAAGCCAGATTAAGCCATAATCATGGTCGTTTCACCTGAATTCTCAAATGTATTCAAAAAGCAAGAGTAAAGGTCAGCAAAACACATCTTCACCAAGAAAAGTACAGTAAAACCAATGCCAAATTAAATGGGCCAGTTATAGAGAATTCTACCCATAAACACAATGCTTCTACTTAATCTGCTTCTCACCACCTTCATTTGAGAACCTTGGTCTTAGGTCCCTGGGCGGCTGTTCCTGCCTTGAGCTTTTTTGTCGTTGCAAGCCAAGGGGTTGCTATGCAAAGTCCCAATGCATGGAACCAGAGTTAATCATTCACAGGCCTTTTTGCCTGAAATAAGATGCTTTTCATTTCCCTTGGCTTATGTGAATAATGAAAAAAGAAAACAAACAAAGAAGATAACTGCACTATGTTAAAAGATAATCCCTTAGCATAACTATTGTCTAGAAGGCTGAGCACCGTAGTCAAGCAAAAATCCAGTCTGCATTCAGTGACTACACTGACATTTATTTATAAGAGATTATGCCGTGACAGAGCTTCGAGTCATTTAGAAATGCTCCCATTCCCCAAGGCCTTCGTTATATTTATATGCAGGAGCCCATATTATTTTTCCTGGTGTTATGGCAACAAGGATTTCAGTGTTTACAGAGCTATCAAGTTCTGACAGGCCAAGCCGGGGACTTTGCATCACTGGCTTGCATTAAAATGGAGCGCAGGACCTGGGGAGCTGAGCTGGAGCTCAGCTGTCTGAACAACTAATACCTGAGCAGAAGAGGGTTAGGAAGCAGGCAAACGGTGCTAATCAACTCACAGAGCCACTTTCCCCCAAGGGAATTTGCCCTCATGATCCTGCGCTTTAAGAAATATATTACAAAGTACGCTGAACCTAGGAAGTCATATTAAACCCAAAAGAAAAACAAAACCCAAATTCCTACTACAATTTTGCACTCTGCATGGATTTTTTAAAGCTGTGTTGAATACTGTATGTTAGAGTCCTTTATTAGGCCTCTGGAGTCGTGAGAGGGAAATGAAAATGCAGTGGGTGAAGAAAGGGCAGAACAAATACTCTCTCTGTGCCCACCTTTGGTTTTTAACTGCACAATGGAGAGTAGCCCAGCTTACGTTCACACCTAATTTAACCACTGCCCAGGGCCCAGTAGTTTCTAGCGTACTCCAGCTCTGAAGCTAATTACTGCATGAAACTGGTTATGAAAGTGTCCCAGACATGTCTGTATCTCACAGACAAAATTAGTTTGAGAACTTGCCACCTACTTCACAAAAATAAGTATGTGGAACACGACCTTGCAGTCCATGGTTTTCTACATTGAAGTTGTTTTCCAGAGGTGGCCCAAACTCCTCCATACTCTGACTAGACACAGAGCTAGAAATCATTTTTTTTAAAAAGTCATTCCAAACATACTCTTTGGACATCTTGGTTCTAGTTGGAGCAGGAAATAAGAGCTACAAGGCTTAACCTCTGATACAATAAGCCACAACCTTCCAGTTCTAGATTTGAGCCAGGGAAATTATCAAATCAGAGTAAAACGAAACAAGGAATTCCAAACCACATTTCTTTTTCTTTCGCTTTGTTTTCTTTTCTTAATATATGTGTGTTCATAAAGATATTGGTACTTATCTCGTTATAAAAGAGTCACACTGAATTGTAGAATGAACTTCACTAACGTGTCTAATTATTTTTAGTTTTTTTGAGACAGGGTCTCACTTTGTCACCCAGGCTGGAGTTTAGTGGTGAGATCTTGGCTCACTGCCCCCTCAGCCTCCCAGGCTTAAGCAATCCTCCCATCTCAGTCTCCCAGGTAACTAGGACTACAGGCAAATGCCACCATGCCTAGCCAATTTTTTGTATTTTTTTGTAGAGACAGGGTCTTACTATGTTGCCCAGGCTGGTCTAGAACTCCTGGGTTCAAGCAACATGCCCACCTCAGCCTCCCAAAATGCTGGATTACAAGCATGAGACACCACACCCAGCTATTTTTTTTTTAATTTGCAGTTTTGTTCTGTTTAAAAGGATAAATAGCAAGAAATATACATATTTCCTAATGCTTAAGGTGAACATATCAACAAATAATAAACTGAGACTTGCCAGGTGTCATAGACATGT